AGCAATAAAGGAGCATGGGTTCTTTTTAAAGCGGAATTTTTCGACAGAATTTTGAAGTCGTCAGCAGGATGCTAAATATAGGTGCAACTGGAAAGCATCATTTTATGTGATGAGTAGGGAGGAAAGGAAAGATGGTCTGTCTGGATGAAGTGTCCATTGGAAGCATTCATCTCTGTCCTGGGAAGACTTGTCCATGCTAGATGAGACACAGAACACCATCTCTATCCATCTCCTCCACTTCCCCCTTCATTCATTTGTCTTCTCCTTTCTGCCTTTCTGTCTCTTCCGGACCCTCGGCTTCGATTGCTCCGAGTCTGACTTCATCAGTCCCGATCCTCAGAATCTCTTCTGTCTTCAGTCTTCATCCCTTCTTGAGCGAGGGAGAAGAGGGTTGGGGTTGGGGGCGTGCATATGGCATCTGTTTCTGGTCGCCGTCATGCCCTCTGGCAAGGTCGCTTCCTTCATGCTCCTTTCTCCCTCTTTCTCCCCTTCCTCTCCAGCATACCGCATTAGAGAAAGAGAGGAACTCGTAACGCAAAAGCTTGATTGCTGAGTTCGGAGTGAGACATGTTATATTATATGAGTGAGACCCAATCGTTGGCATCTTCGTAAGAACTGTCATATTTTCCGTGGAAAAATCCCGAAGAAGGAAAACCGCACCAAAGGACGGAGAAACCCTTAATAGAATAATTATCCCATAAACGCTGACAGTAAAACTTCTGAAGATTTTAAATTTGGTATATTTCGTCGACGATAATTCATTCATTTTTGAATTCATCTTGACTATCAAGCCAATTTGAGATCCATGCAATTCACAGGGTAATTTGGGTTGAAAGTCAATTTTTTGTTAATTTATATCAAAGCGCCCTGATGATAATCCAGAATCATCCCAGTGCTGGCAAAGCGACGCAAACCCATTCTCACTAAGCGCCGCACGCGTCTGAGTAGGGAAGGTGGAACCCGTGGAACCGATATTTTTGACTCGGAAGCGGAAAGATTTGTCACACAGAGACTCCTGCATCTGGTCGCCATTACATCTCGGTCCCGATTTTTCACTGTCCGCGGCTTGAGGGGGGTTTCACTTTTTTTTTTTTCTTCTTGCTTCTTCCCTTTCCTTTCCCCCTTTCTTGCAAATACATAGCCAAAGTCATCCATCCTCTGTGGGAGGAAGGTTGTTGTCAATTCCCGGGCCAACATGGCAGCTTCCGATTTTGGGTTCATTTCGTCTACTCTTCATTAGTCATTCTTAATCACCTCCCAAGCGTTGTGATTGGTTGGGGCTGGCAAAGCGGAGAAGCAGAGCTGGACCCCCATCTGTCATATTTTGACAGGAGCCTGGCATCCCTTTCCACCAATGATGTCTTATTATTCCTTTTCGCCCTGGGGTATTTGAGGGGGTGGAGGCGTTCTGGGCTGCTCCTTTGTTCCTTTCCCAAGGGAAAATGGGTGCCAGACCTAAGGACGAAGTCATTCCTCCATCTGCTTCCTGCTGTGCTGTCGAGTGACGCAAAAACGCCAAACAAGCTCGTAAAACTCCAGCTCGTATCATTGAAGGGGCTTTTTCAAACGCTGGCCGACATCCGCTGATTCTGATGACTTTGTTATTCTCTTTTGTTTGCTCGTGGAAACCCTTTTCCCATCCAGATTCAAGGAAAGAGAACAGTGATAAATTTCCTTCAAAGTCTTCGATGGAAACCGGATATCTTTTGGAAGTCCAAAAAGATCTCCGTCCATATGGGTGTACATACATGAACAGGATAGCATGTGTTCATGTAACAGCTGGCTGTCTTCCTTTTTTTTTCCCTCTCTTCTGTTTCCCCACAGGGCCATGCATCCGACTCCCTGTGTCTCTGTAGTCTGTGCACATTCATGAATATTCAGGAGAATCCTGTCAAAATCCTGCTCATGGTGCGCATCTCATCCCCATCATATGCTTCCAACGTGCGTAGTGTGTTCTTCTGTCGCTCGCTTCATTCATCGAATAAGTAGTCAATGACTAGAGAAGTTTTGCTCAGGACATCGATGCCAATGCCAATTGAGGAACAGAAAGTACTCTTGCTAAATTCTTCACTCATGGGGGTTATAGAGCTTTCTGCCTTTTCCGTTTTTAGAAATCTGTCCGGAAACTGCTATACCATTTTCCGCTCAGTCTGCATGAACAAAATCGATGCAAGAGTGTTGCACCCTGTTCGATCTATTGTCGATTGGCGGTCGGGTGTGGGGGGAAAGAGTGGCGGGCATTGGAAAGGGAAGGGAAGGGAATGATGGTGGATGCAGGGCAGGGCATGCAAGAATGACAAAGACGAATGGGGAATCGAGAAAGCGAGTGAAAAGAACGCCAAGCTGTGATTGATTGCTTCGTCTCCCTTGCCGACAGATGCCTCTCTCTCCTCTCTTTTTCCCTTCCCCCTCTCTACCTCTCCCACCCACTTCCATGAGATTTCTACATCATGGATGTCCTTGAAGTATGCGTCACTAACTACTGCCTTTAATAGATTCTTGGCAAAAGATGTCACGGTTTTGATGCAGTTGTTTCAAATTGTTCAGTTGCATAGAAAAAATAAGCGGATAAAATATTTGGAATTTATGGTTTGCTTTAGTCTCGCCATAGGTACTCTAAAAAGCACAAGGTTACTGCATTGCATTACCAATCTCGTCGTGATCTGTTTCATCATTTACACAGTCATTTGACATTAGTATATGTAGTCATGTCGATGCGAACGCATTAGTGGTAACTATTGCTAAAGAATCATTTCAATGAAGAGCAGTATCGGATATTTGTTAGCCATTGAGGGAGCAGAAAATCAAGCTCATTGGCTCCGTCTATCTCTGGAGTTGTTTCACAGTTCTCACTTAGGCCTATTCAGCCACGGTCGCAAAGAATAGAATCTGTCCCTCTAAATCTCTGTCGGGATCTAAATGGAGCTCAATTGTCCAGGTATTGTGGGGGCTGGATTGAAGTCGGTTGATTGAAAGGGGCCCCAACCAGCACACATGTCCCACGAGGGAAACCCTTTTGAGGCCAGATAGGCCTATATCTGGTCGGATCCTCGGGTACTCTTGTATGCACATCCGGGGACCTTCGCATGCATGGATCTCAGGCTCCCTGGTAAACAAGGGCTATGGGGTGAGATTCAATGGGTCTGATTGGTCCCCCCCTTTTATTCCCTCTGCACAGACATCCATCTCGAGAATGACATGACATGTAGCTTTATCATTAATCTTCCCAGCTTCCCCTCTCTCTCTCTCTCTCTTCATCCATGCGAATGGACCCCCCCTTTTGCATTGCATTGCGCCAAATGAGTCATCCGCGCATTTACGCTCCCTCCCCTGCTATGCCTCGATCGGGAACTTCACTCCTCCTTCCCGATAGAAACAGCGAAACCAGAAAGCTTAAAATGTAGTTAATGACCCAGAAATGTGAAATCAAAAGGAATATTTTTTATTTTCACGTACAGGGTGTGGCGGAGTTGCAGCTGGATATCGATACAAGGTGAGATCATCAACCTCTGGATTGCACCCGATTCCACACTCAACACAGTAATTTCAACGCGGCATTAAACAATTACCAGGCGCATTCAGTTGTAACCTGGGTCATGACTCAAGGTTCACTCTGAAAAGGGGTATCAAGAGGCATTTTGCTCATATAAACACCCCGAGTTTAGGGGTATCTATATGAGCAAAATGGCTTCCTGCACCCCAAGGGGCTACTCAAACCATGAATTTTAGTCACGACCCGGGTCACAACTGAGTGCGCACACTGTCAGAGTTTGAATCTGTTCGCATGCCTTTAAAGCAACCTTCAAGGTCGACATTTTTTTTTAATATTGAATATGAATCGAAAAGATGGAGTTCCCACGATTCCGTCGAATTAAATTAGACAATGATTGCAGAGATGGTTCGTAGAAATCAGTGGTCGGAGAGATATGGGTGAAGTATGCATGGAGGGAGGATAAGAGACTGCAGGAGGCAATTCCGCGGCCTGAGAATGGGCCATTCCGTCACAGTAGAATTACCACGGACGACTTCATCGTGCAATCTCCACTCCCTTGTGATGCATGGCTTGCTTGCGCACGCTTTTTTTTTTCAACCGCATCAGTACCCTACAGTAGTTCATGCAGACGCTGACGCTCCCTTATTTGCTCGCCGCTTGCATCATGATGCATCGTTTTGGGAGGGGGGGGGAGGGGAAGCATCATATTCGGAGTGATATGTATGTGAACTTATTGAGTGTTCCTATTTCATTGCCATAAAAGTTTTTTTATTTCTTAAATTTGCCTTTTTCGCTCAGTGCCCTTGAGCCTTAAGGATAATAAAGAAAATTACTACTGAGACCTACTTCAATTCCCAGTTATTCATATATCAAACGATATCAATAATCACATGCAGCAAAGCGTTCACAATTTCTTTAATTTATTATTTTACTTGAAAATTTTGAATCACTTTCTATGTCCTGCTTTTCGGTCGATTGAATGCTCTCCATTATAAGCAGCTTCAGAAATCAGACGCTGGCAAATAAAAAATTTTGATGTAAAATCTAATCCTGAGATTTTATTTTTGTCTTGTTTATCAAATCCAATCAACTCTTGCTTTGGTTTAGAAAAACCGTGACCAGATTTTTTAAAAAGCCGATTGTGACCTCAGGTCAGGATATCTCTTAATCATCCCAGAAGTTGAAAGACTGACGTTATTTAAGATGCAACTTGAAGATTTTGCTTCATCACTGCCGACTGGCATATAATACTGTCTAACCAAGATTTAATTGTTTTCTCACCTCAGGCACGGAGGCTGATAGCAGTTTTGAATTATTTTACGTGTATTTCACGCATATATGAGGCACGAGGCACGTGTCCCGAAGTGTGGGATCCATCCAGGCATTGCACACTAAATGGTAACCATGGCGCCTATGTAGTTGTTCATTTATAGCAATTAAAATAAAAATTAGCTGAGATTGCGTGTTTTTATGCAAAAAGAACCTAGAAAAACGAGTAGAAAATAATGAATGACTGAGAGGATGATCAAGTCAAGATTTTTTTTTTACATTTCGAGGTCGCGACTGGATTGCGATTTGCCCACCTATGTTCAAACTACTAGCTGAATCGCACTTGGACGTTTAGGTGATTAGTGATGAAAAGGAAATGCAGAAGCCTTTTGCACTACCCCTTACATTGTCTGGAAGACATTAAATGATCAGTATCGGTTAACCTTATCTCATCATTAGGACATAATTGAATCAGAGAGCCCGAACGGATCATTGATTGGGATGGTAATCAGTGTCTCTGGAGAGAATGAATTCTTTCGGGGGGGTTCCAGTCGGTAGAGGAGATACAGCTGAGCGAGGGGGGAGCGAGGAAAATGCATAGCATTCATGCCGTTTCCCCCCCCCCCGTATCCCCTCAGTGACGAACTGACAGACTGAATGTTTACCAAGTGACAATGGTGAAAGAGGCCCTGCCATTGGCAAGTCCCCTTATCCCACGTGACTTCGACTCTGCCCCCGCTCATTATGGGACGAGTAGCCCCACATTGCACACATATCCTCCTCTCCTTCTTCCTCCTCTTCTACATATCTTCCCACTCCAGTTTACTTTTTAAAAGTCCGTCTGGACATGACGTCGTATTTTTCGGCCACACCGTCGCCTCAACCGTCGTGGCATCGGTCTCCAATGACCACCAATGGGTACTACCATCATCATGGGTCACCTGATGGCGGAACCACGGGTCAAGCCTCATATCCCTTCCCACGATACCCTTACATGAGTGCTCAGAAGCCCTGTTACCAGCAGCAAGCTCCTGTCAGCGAACTTCAGCAGCAGCAGCAACCAGCATCGCAGACCTACGAAAATCCCCAGCAGTATTTCAGTGGAAATCCGTCACCAGAAAAGGTTGAAGTGAACTGCAAACCTTTCCCCCAAGTGACGAATTCCTCATTTCCGCCGAATACGATCCCTGATCCAACTCAGCTGGCCGCCCTTCATCATCATCAAAATTTCGATGTGGCTGCCGCCTTCATGCAAAAGGCACCCAGCTATTATCCTTGGATGAAGACTTGCTCAGGTGAGAGAAGACGCTTTGTTTTGACTCGGTTATTTATGGCCCCCTTCTTTATATTTTTTTTTTACTTTTTCTGTCGGAAAGGGTTAAGCACTCGTGACGTCATGAGCAGCAAAAAAACCGTAAGGAGAATTTTTTTATGAGTCTCCCGGGAGGCCATGTCGGTGAGGGAGGAGAAAGCCGATATACTGTAGATAGACTATGCTTAGAGCTGCTTATAAGAACCGGTTATACGGGTCTGTTGTCAGTGTTACGGGGGATCGTTAAGAATGGTTCTTCATTCGACCCCTGGGGATTCCTTCACCTTGATCTCATGTCCATGAGGGGGCCGCCGGGTCGGCTTCGCTTCCTTCTCTCTCTCTCTCCTTCCCTTTACATCATTAACTCATGACACAATCTATCCTCCTCTCTCTCACTCTCTCATATCTCTAGTCAGATGTTCAAGTTTGTGTCTCCCGACAATTGAAGTCGTATTCATCTTATTTGTGCGATTACGAACGTGAATTTTGATAGTATTCTCTAGATCTATTTGCAAAACGTGATTGAAGTGTCATGAAGGCAATTGGGCCTGCGACTGGAAGCAGCGTGATTATGTCTGGAATTTTTTAATTCGGCTACGAGAATGAAATGGACATGACTCTTTGGTCATTCCTTTACTAATGCATATAATGTAATTAGCTCTCTTGATTTATTCAGATTGAGTTAATTTATTATAAGGAGCCCAAACTTTCAAGATACGCATTGAAGCCTTTCCCTTCTATTATGTGCGATTCCAGCTTCAGGAGCGCAGCCTTGATGAGCTTTTCGACATTTCGGGCGTTTAATTTGATCTAGTACCTTTCCGTCAACGTTGAATCGCCATATTTTTCAATATGATGAGGGAAACCGTTCGTACGGTGATCGAATCCATTACACGGCTGCAGTCAAAACTTCTGTGATTGAAGAGGACGGTTAGTGAAAACTGCTGTCCTGAAATGCATTATACAGTCGACTCCGCATATTGGAATACTCACGGGTAAAGTTAACTTTATTCTATAATCCTGAGTATTCTAATTACCGAAACCATATACGGTATCGTACCGTTAATAGGAACAGTGCAATGATATTCCAGTAAGCGGTGTTCCGTTATGCGCAGTCGACACTATATTTTAATGAGCGTCGCAATCACGAAATCACGCATCTGTAATTGTGGTACGTGACGATTGGAAGCTTTTGTATTCAATTCCGCTTGCCAGATAATTTCATCATAATATGTATTCCTATTCGTATTCCTATTATGTTGGGATTTTGCTGTATTTTCCATTGACAGATTAACTACTACTTCCATTTTTCAAGTTGCACTTTGCAAAAAAAATTAGTGGTAACTATTTTTCCAACTCTCAGTATAAGATTATGAGCTTTAGTCAAAATGTGGCATGTATGAGACAGACATTTAGAGTTCTTTGTCATGAAATGCAATGTCGGATGAACTTGTTCGTCCATGGACGGAATGATTGATGAGTGATGATCGGAATTGCAGAGGCGAATGCCGGAGGGACGAAGAGAACGAGGCAGACATATACAAGGTACCAGACTCTGGAACTGGAGAAGGAATTCCATTTCAACCGATACTTGACACGAAGGAGGAGGATCGAGATCGCCCACGCTTTGGGCCTCACTGAGCGACAAATCAAAATCTGGTTCCAAAATCGACGCATGAAGGCGAAAAAGGAGACGAAATTAGGGACCCTTCATGCTCTCCCCGAATCCACTTCTCATTCGGATCCCATCAAGGACGAAATGCACTCCACCACTCCACCCACGCCTGGACCTGGGTGAAAGGAATCAAAGTTATCAGGAAACTCATTGTGATACTCTTTTTTTTTTTGCTAGAAAATGTTCAGGTAGACCTCTGGGCCAGTATAACTGTACAGCGGTGGATCGTCCCGTTTATTTCTTCAAAAGGGTTGTCGGATTATTTGGGGGTTTATGGAACCCCCTCGAGGAGTCGGCTCCATTGCCAGGAGCCTCATTTCATGGTTTTCCTCTACAAACGGCGGCAGAGGGATTCATTTTTATCCGGAGAGTCTTTCTATGTGTCACACCCTACCTCAGGCTAGTCAAAATGTTTTCCCTTCCCTCCTCGCTCTTTTTTATTACGAGGAAGACCCCTTTTTTATGACTGGGGGGAAGCGTGCCGTGTCATAAGTGGACTGGGGGTCAATGAGGCTTTATGGCCAGAGACCCCATAAAAACAGAGAGAATTAGTGATATCGGCTCTTTTGCGGCTCGCCCCCCTTTATGGTGCCTTCTCCCTGTCTCCGCACATCATCTACATGGAACACCGGCTTCTTGGATGAGTCTTCCTTTGTGCTCAATTTTGTATTGTATAATTTTTTGTATGTACATACTTCCCATATTATTGTGTGAATTTTTCCCTCTTCGTTTGACGGGTAAGAAAGAAACGAAAAAGTGTTCATGCTGATCTCAGTGACAGAATCTCGAAGTAGTGATTTTTTTTTCTTTAAATCAGGGAACTGAAAACGTTACCAAAAAAAGTCCGTAGTATATGTACGGGTCATGGATGCCGTGTGCAATATGGTAGGTTTGTTTCCTCCCGTCCCTGGCATAGTGGACTAGTTCCGCCGGGTAATTGCCAACATGGCCGCCCCCTTCTGCAATGCATTGTCCGCGACCGTTACCAACAGATGTCTTTCTCTCTCCCGGGGGCCCAGGCTTATCAATCGAAAATTCCTCTTCCAGTGAGTCAATAGCTTCATCGTGCCCCCGGGCAATCTTTTTTTTTTCTTGTTTCCCTTCCCCTACCTTTCCCAGTATCTGATTATATGAATTTTTGAATGAAGACCTGCTTATGTTCCAGCCACGCCTCCACTTTATTTGAGCCTCTGCTGAGGATATCGACAGACATGTTCGATAAACGGAAGCACGATAAGAAAACCTGCTCCGCTTCATTGGACAGTGACGATGCTCTCTAAACTTTTTCTTTTCTCCATTTTGCACCTGTCCTTCGTGACAGCGGGATGTACTTCAGGAGAAGGTGATTCACAGGACCGCAGTGCATATAGAGAGGGTTTCACCCTCACGTTCCGTTAGAACGGCTTACCTTCACTAAACTCTGTCACGATCTGGAAAAAAAAGCGAAAAGCCTATACAGATGCTATTTTGAAACGTTAAACGAACTCCATTAATTGCGGTTTTAACTTCTTTTTCATTGCATCTATAGATACGTGAAAGGTAACTGGGAAGAAAAAGAATTGATTTTAGAGAGATCGTTCTTACATAACTATCAAGGTAGGTAAGTTTTTTTTTTCTTGAAATAATTCATGGGGTAGTTGAAGTCGATCGCAATCTCATCTTCAAACGATATCGAAGGCTGTCAGTGAAACAAAGGACCTGGAAATCACCTTCTCCTAAGCGATGTTCATCTGATTCGATCGTGACGTCTCTTCATCGCTTCCCGGTCCCATGAATTGTCTCAGAGATAAGCCGCAGTTCCGAGTCCGCGTATATTCTTCGGGGTATTTCAGAAGCCGTATATTGTTTGGAAAATCGTGGGAAATGATTGAGGAAGCATGACATTTTTCACTCTTGACAAATGAATATGATTGACACGGATTGGCAACCACCACGATTCCCTAATACCTCCTCTATTCCTTCGACTTCCTCATCAGATTGAAATGAGCAATGTAATGTAGCGATTTAATTGAAAGAGCACTAAATAAATTTTATAGGTAAAAGATGAGAGCAGAGTTCCTGTCTGGAGGTGGGATCGCGAAAAAAATTCGTACCTCTGCGTACACGCTTCCCTCGGTATTGCGAGTATGTTCGCGTCCATTTGAATTTTATCTTTGACAGAATATCGAATACGATCCGTATAATTTTGCATCAGAATGAAGCAGATGTATAAAAAGCATCAATAACTTTCTGAAGACATCCACTCGTAAAGAAGAAAACAAAGAACTTCATAAATGGAAGTGACAGCCTTTATAACGACGTACATATGTTGCGGAAACATCCTGTCATCAGATATTCATCCCCCAAGGCTTTTGCATCTTATCTTGGCCTATAAGTACCTACTACTGGGTATTTAAGTCAATCTGATACCCGTGTCAGAACTTCATCACTCCTTGCTGAACTGCATCAACAGCAAACATATGTAATCAAAATTATCGGGTTGCATAAAAGTTATGTCTGAAGGGACGTAGTTTAGCGCAGACAGGTTTAGAGTAGTGGCATGGCATAACATGGTTGTGGATGCTGAGATGCATGCGGTCTTGATGGACATTCTGATCTTTTGCAATGCGATCAGTCATTTCTTACGTAACCATTGTTGAATGTTGTCCAACTAACTTGAAAATTCCCAGATTTATAGGGTTAGCGTTGGGGTTAATCGCAGCCAAAATTTTGCCAGGTCAAGCCTGTTCTGGGAAAAGGGAACAGTTGTAAGATGTCTCTGTCACGAAGGCTGTGAATGTAATGTGTATGTGTAGGGGCATGTTTGGGGCCCGGATGCCTGCCATCTTTGAAAACATGTGTGGAAGAGTCAGTCTGGTCTCTGGACCTTCTCTTTCCTCTTTTCGAGGTATGCCTCACGTGAGAATGCGGAGGAAAGACAGGAGCCAGGTTCCTCCCTGACACTGACGGATGAGACCGAAGAAAAAAACTGTCACTCAAAGCCCTCTCCTCTGAAACCCCCCCCTTGCCCCCACCCCCGAGCCCATCGAGGATCCTCATTGGCTCTTCCCTCCTCTCTCTCTTTCCCTCCATCTTCTTCAACCCAAATACGACCCAACTCGAAGACAGGTCTAAACCTACATGTTGAACGGGGAAGCATTTTCAGTAACTGCCAACCAGATTTGGAGGAAGATCTCGGTGCCGTTCGCGAAGCTCTGATCCAAAAATTCCATGTGTTTTTGATGCACTGTTCCGTTTCGATAGTCTTCTCAAATGCCGGTTTCCACAGTAAGAAGTATGCGTAGCCTCACAGAAAGATCAGAGTCTCTAATTTAGGAATCTTTGGGCACTGCTTGAGAAGCGTTAAGTCCTCTAAAAGTGTATTAATCTACTTTGATAAAGTATTCGCCAAATAGCGCAATCGCGTGGAATATACAAATTGCAGCGCTTTACGTCTGTCTGAAGCATGGCAAAAATTATAGGCTATAATGACCGAGTCCATATTCAGTAAAGCAATCTTCATGGTCACAATATATGATGAAATGCGGTGAAGTGCTCATGTTGCAGCTAGCTTGCAGTTTTGACATGGAACAATTTATAGTCTTCATTCTAAACGATGATCACGTACGGCTGATAGAAACAACCGTAGAAAAGTGATGGGTGGATAAGCGAAATAAAAAGCATGTCGTAACAAAACGAAATGGAATGAACTGCACCTCTGGGAGACAGATATGAAGGACTAGAGAGGACTAGGCGAGCCGAACAAGTCACAAAAGAGAGCAGCCAGGAACTCGATCCGAACAGTATGATAAAAGTAATCGAGGATCCAAGCACAGAATCCCGACTTGCCACCGAAAGGCATGCCAGACTGAAGGCGCAAGACGCTCCTTCTTATTTGTCGCATGGCAGAGATGCGACTAATTGTCTTCGGCTTCTTTCCTTTTTTTTTTCCTTTTTGCTCAACACTGTGTTGTTTATCCGGATGAGTAATGATCCGAAGAGGTCGATCGCATATCTTCCTCGTGTCGCAGATAAGTGCCGGTCCTAATGGTCTCAGAACACAAGAGAAACAAGATCCCCCCGCGGATTATTAATGGTATCCTCCTATCCCCAGCTAATTGCTATCCCTCATTAACTGGACGTTTCATCGTAGTAATTAATTAACCATTTCTCCCGGAACGTGCTGTTTCGCATTAGGACAGGTTTGAGCGCATGCGACAAAAAATCCATTCAGCACGAATCGGCGAAGTCGCATTTCTTGTCGCGCAATGGTTGAATGGTTTCGGTCTGCTTACTGTAGAGAGGCGACCGTGCGGAGAAGACAGGTGTGACACGGCCGAAAAGACAAGGAATCCAAATCCCCTTCGGGGCATGGAAAGTGGATTACAAGTGCGCAGACATGATGGATTCCTCCTCTTTTCAGGCCGGCCCCGAACCCTCTTTTCCGATACATAATGAAGATGTAATTACCATGGAAATCCAATCCCCATAGTCTCGCTCTGTCTCCCGAGGGCATGTCAGTCGAGGATGATGATCAAGGGCGGAGCTGACAAAAAAGGTTTTCCAGGGTCAGAGTTCTCTTCCGATCCTTCATGAAGTGCCGCCCTTGCATCATCACGCTCGAGTCTCTCTCTCCGTCTGTCCTCGTGCATGTGAACATGCAACAGTGAGACAGAGAGAGAGAGAGAGAGAAGAAAGGAAGACATGAGATGAAAAGAGAGAAGGAAAAGCCGGTGATTGGTTCAATTTATCAAGACGTCAGGCTGGCCCACCGCCGAACCGAACTCTCCCGTAATTACCACGTCAGGATGACGAATTATTCGCTGCGTAGATTCACGCACGCACGCATGCACGCACCCTGCATGGCTTTTCCTGCATTGGATGCCCTACCTTCTCTCTTCTCTCCTTGCTTCTATATATGATACAACCCTATGCTTCAACAAACGCCGAGATCTTCGCATTCTTCCAACGAGACATCGACTCCAAATGTTTGTCCTACGAGAAGTAACTTACCTTTGGAACTAATTTTGATCTCGGAGTTGTTACCCAAAGGAGCTCGGCGCGACGAACAGACTATCGTTACAGGAATATAATGACCGCTCCGAAAGTACTGTCAATATCGTAAACGATAGAGCTTCGTGCCATGCGATCCAGATACCGCGAATGCAATTCCCATGGCTCCGGGAAGGCGTGTCGGTCGTGCTTGAGCCTTGGCATGCTCTTGCCAAGTGGCATCTCGCTTGCGCTAATTGTATCTGTCCGCATTTCGCAAGTCTCTTCTTGCTCGACAGCCAATGCCATCGGATAACGAAGTACTCGGGAGTATTTGGATCGTGAGAGATAGAAACAGGCTGCATGTCCCGACAGTACTTTCTCTGTGGTGGCGAATTCGATTAGGAAATTCTTCTTTTCGAGGAAACTAGGAGGTTTTGTCGATGTTAATCACGGGATACTTTCCAGCCGTCCAAAGCCATACTTCGATGAAACACTGGACTTAAATGAATGAGGAGATCCATAAACGGCACGATTTTGTTTCTCTGCTCAATGGAAGCGAAACGTCAGGCGTTCAGTATAATGTCCCAGTGGTACACGAGAAAGTCATGTTTCTCTTTTCGACCCATTTGTAAGTATCCCATTTTGACCCCAGCCGTAAGCCTTGTTCTAGCGAAACCGCAAAGAACGAACGAGGACACACGAGTGAAATCGTCGAGCAAGTCGTCGTACACGTCTCGATCTTAGTGTTAACATCGCCTTCTTTCCGCGCCCACGTATCGCAGGATTCCGTGGGAACGGTATCCATCACCTTCACCTATGAATTCGGATTTCTCCTTTGTATGGAGAAATGCGACAGGATATTGTCGTCGGCTTGACAATGCTCGCAGGACGGGATGAGAAGGCCATAATCGTTGATCATCGACGAGGATGAATTTATTATTTTGTTTCCCATCCGACGTCTTGCTCGACGTTCCCGTATGCAGGACTCCCCGGTTTCTCTCTGACGAAACGAAAACAATGACTCGGATGCATGCAGGGTCCGAAGGGAGAAGGGATATTGAATGATGGGGGGGATGTCTCCCTGGAGCCACTGTCTTGCTGCCTCGAGATCACCTGCCATGTCTCCTGTCTCTCGTCTCCCCCTGCTTCTTCTTCATTCTGTCCAAGTACACGTTTCTGTCTCCTCCGAG